TTTTTTCGGAGCCTTTCTACGCCAAAGCGCGCCGTCGGCCTGGCACCAGAAGCGCTCCGAAGTTAATGAAAAAATTGGAGTGAAGCAAAGTGAAATACACAACCATTGAGAACAGAGTGCTAGGCAAAGCTTGGCAAAGACCTGAATGTCACTGGCCGCTCTTTTGCTGCTTGTAGGTCTGTTTTTGTAGCCAGCCCAGTAGCCCCGCGACCTGTGCTTGCAACCTTCAACTGGTGTGCCATGGCTCGTATTGCTGCCTTGTGCGTCTTGGCTGCTGCAGCTTGGCTCGGCAGGATGGTTGAGAGTTTTGTGAGAGCTGGTGTTGTTTGCTCCTCCTGTTCGGAATCAAAACCAGCTCAGGCCCTTTGCATGCTCCGAAACATTGCCTTTGTCTCAGCGCCTGCGCGCACCACCGCAGACCCCGCAGTGGCAGCTGGTGCAGCGGTGTTGGCAACTGTGCCAATGGGAGCAGATGCCTTCGTCTTCAAGGGCCGCCGGTCTGCAACAAGAGCAGCTAACACGTGTACATGCAGCATATGTTGGGGAGTTGCTTCAATCATGATATACCAGCACCTGTCACATGCCGGCAATCAATGGGCACTAAGGCAAGGAGTACTTTGACGTCTTCTATGGCACCTCGTGCCCGCATGGTTCTCTTCCGGATTCTTCTGTTTCTAAAGGAAGTGCATAAAGAATCGAATACTGTATCTCGGGTGGATAAAAGGGCAGCCAAGCATCAGCATACCGGAGACGAGACCAATTGGAGGTTCATCGCAGTGCGCGGTGTGGTGTTGCAACAGTCACAACCACTTTCATTGGCCGACCTTCGTGCTCACCAGCCGAGGGGTGTTTAAGCAAATCGTTGTCAAAGCTTTCTTTTGCCTCGCAGAGTGTTGAAGTCTCATAGTGTAACGCTGCTCTTGACCTTTGAGGCATTGAGCCTTTGGCCTGGGCCTTCTGCGGCTTTGTCATCGTCTACTATGGCGCTGTTGTGAAGAACGCTGCGCAAAAGCGCCTCACATGCAAAAACTGAGTTGTGACCATCAAAGTATCGTTTTTTTTTTTTGGGGGTTGTTTGGGACGCAACGTGCAGTTAGCGGGCAAGTCAGGGAATCCAGTTTAGGCAACCCGCCTGACCCTTCCCAGATAATTATGCATTGAATTAAACACATTGATTGGAGAAGGTGTGATAATGTGGTTCATACTTCAAAAATAAACTAGGCGAAACTTTCAATCCAAGACAGTCCAAACATGTTATGTTTATCTCAGAATGGAGTTGACACCTTCGTCACTCACTTTGATAGTCCTTCCCAAAGTTAAGACACATTCTGCTTTCTCACTGGAATTTGACGGCTGGCCAGTGGTGTGGAGGTTGGTCTAGCCTACCTCCGCAAATCGCTGAAGGCATTGGTCTGCTCAACACTAACACGCCTAGATCTTGCATCCTCCCAGTGGAATTCATCGGTTCTGTTACCCGCGTGGGTCCTGCTGAAGGGTTCATTGATTCATCCATGTGTTTCCATGCTCAGCCTCATTTTTCTCATTTGAGCCAAGGTACAACGTCCCCATCCAGAAGATTCCTCCCAAGGTCGGGGCCTTCGTTGGCAAGGCGGGCCCAGGGGTAGGGGTGGTGGTCCATTGAACAATTGAACAGCGAGTTGGCTCGAACATGTTGAATCTACACCCAATCATTTTTTTGGGGTTGTGCCCATGAAACGCAAAGTGTAGCGTTGCTGAGATTTCACATCGATGCTGGCAGCAACCTGAACTTGTTCAGTGAATATATCGATCTTTTTGGTATATAAGTATATAAGTTGTTTTGGGGCATTGCATTCTCCTCAATACATCACCATGGCCAGGAGGTTGAGGTGGAGGTCTTGAACAGGCGTGGCATCCCGAAGCAGTGATGCGTCACTGTGGGCGACTTTTTTCGGAGCCTTTCTACGCCAAAGCGCGCCGTCGGCCTGGCACCA